AGGCAGCGTGGCTGTGGGGAGGAGGGGAGGGAGCCGTTTGGCTGTCTTGACAGAGACGGGCGCGCAGAGCCCGGGGGATGCGGATGGGGGAAACGGGAAGCTGCCATCTCCTGGCCAAGCTGGCTCCCCGCGCCCTGGCTCCGGCAGCTCTTTCCAGGAGAGGCCTGGGCTTCTCCACCCCCCCCTGCCCGCGTGCCAGCCCCGACTCACTGAGGCTGGGAGAGTCTGGACCAAAGCTGCAGCTGATGAGTTTACAACGACTCTTGTGACTTTAGCCAGTTGATTGATTGGGGGAGGGGAGCAGACTCAGGACTTTCAAAGCTGCAGCTTGATCGGCTTGGACACCCTGAGCTGCCTTTCCCTGTCCCGGCCGCGTGGAGCAGGGCTCTTCTCATGGAGTAAAACTGCCCATCGGCCTCCTTTCTCGGCCCACCCCGGCCCTGCTTGTCCACACAGAGCGCCTTGCTGCTGGGGGATCTGGGGGCAGCAAGAGCCGGGGCCACTGTGCAGAGCTGCCAACTTTTGTGCTGGACACAAGCAGCCCCGATTACCCCCTGCTCCAAAATGCAAGTGAATCCCTTTCGAAATGAGGCAAATCCCAAAACCAAGTAAATCCCCGAAAACCCCCTAAGGTCTGTGACCGGATCCCCTGGGGGGCATTTTGTGGGCCTACTGCACCCCCTACTTTCCCCCTGGGCTTCCCCTTGTCCTCCTCCCTTTCTCCCTATGTGCCACAGACCCCCAGTCCCTCCTCTTGGCCCCCTCATGCCCCCCCCCAGGCCTCCTCTGCTGCTGGATGCCTGCCCATGTCCCAGAACCGCCCTGTGCAGCTCCAGCAGGCAGCCAGGGTCTTGTGGGGATTGAAACCTTGGAGTGCAAAGTCCACGGGTGCAGTTGCACATGTTGCTGCTGCTGCAGGGGATACGTACCTGGGGCTTCCCCTCTCCTGCCCCCATGGTGTCCATAGCCCGTGCCCTTCCCCTTATGCACACTGCCAGGCAGGAGGGGAGGTGACGCACAGTCACAGGCTAGCTTGGGAGGCAATCATTTTTGATGGAGGAGTCACTCCAAGAATTTGGTAAGTGGTCAAGGGCCACTCTCTTCTATGTTAATGGAGTCGGTGCGGGGTCTGGGAGGGAGGTTGGGTATGGAAAGGAGTTGGGACAAGAGATTGGGGTGCAGGAAGGGGCCTGAGGTCTGGGGGGGAGGCTGGGTGCAGAAGGGAGCTGGGGCAGGAGACTGGGGTGCAGGAAGGAGCCTGGGGTCTGGGGGGGGAGGTTGGGTGCAGAAGGGAGCTGGGGCAGGAGACTGGGGTGCAGGAAGGAGCCTGGGGTCTGGGGGGGGAGGTTGGGTGCAGAAGGGAGCTGGGGCAGGCGATTGGGGTGCAGGAAGGGGTGTGGTGTCTGGGGGGGAGGTTGGGTGCAGAAGGGAGCTGGGGCAGGCGATTGGGGTGCAGGAAGGGGTGTGGTGTCTGGGGGGGAGGTTGGGTGCAGAAGGGAGCTGGGGCAGCAGATTGGGGTGCAGGAAGGGGCCTGGGGCCTGGGAGGGAGGTTGGGTGAAGGAGGAGGTTGTGACCTGGGGCAGGGGATTGGGGAATGAGTGCAGGAGAGGATTCTGACCGGTGGGAGAGGTGTAGGAGGAGGTGCAAGTATTGTGCGGGGGTGGAGGCAGCACGTGGAGCCTCTCCCCACCTCATGGGGCGCGTGGAAGAAACACACACGGTCCCAAGCAGCCAGCTGCTTTGAGTGGCATGAGAATAGGAGTAGCCCAGAGTATTGTGACAGGCCAGACCGGCCTACGGGCCATATTTTGCACTCATCTGGGCTAGCTGGTTTGGCTGAAACCAGGGATGGATGGGCTTCAGGAGCCAATCAAAACCAGGAGGCTAAAAACCACTGTAAAAGTCCTGAACTCCAAAGAAAAACTGGCTGAAGAACAAGCTGAATTTCCACCAATTTGGGGCTGAGCTGGCATCAACCGTAGACTCATAGATCACTAGAGCTAGAAGGGACCTTGAAAGTCACCAAGTCCAGTCCCCTGCCCTCTCGGCAGAACCCAGTACTGTCTAGATCAGGGCAGGCAAAATACGACCTGGGGCTGGATCCAGCCCTCCAAACCACCGGATCCGGCCCGCAGGCCACCCTGCTGGGACCCTCGGGCACACAGCTGCCGTGGTTCAAAGCTCAGTCCATGCGGCTCTCCGCTCTGCAGGCAGGGGGAGGCCTTGTGTGATCGCCCCAGCCCAATCCGCAGCTCCCATTGGCTGGAAACAACCAGCCAATAGGAGCTGAGAGACCCTTCCTCCTCCCGGAGCCGAGAGCCACGTGGAGGAAACAGCCCTCAATTTCAAGCAGTCTGGGGCTGCAATGTGACTCCTGAGGCCTCCCCTGTAGCATCTCCTTGTGTTTCCTCCCCACATCCCCACTCAGCTCAGGGGCTCAGGGTTAGGTCACCGTCCTGCAGAGAACCTGGTTCAAAGCCCTCACTAGGTGAGCCGGCCTGGCCGCGGAGATGCTCTTCCCTCTCTTCGTTCCCGTCTCTGCCTGGCAACCCTCGTGCCTCGGACAGCGTCCCATGGCCGGAGGGTCCAAAGCCCTCGCCCCGACACCACCTGGGCAGCCGCACATTTGCCTCCACAATCCAACTGCCCCTCCCTGGGCCTTTTCCTTCACCAGGGAAGCTGGACGAGAACACGACTCGCACCTCAAACTCCTCCTTCTGGTGCCACGTCGCCTACAGTGACTCGCACAAGGTCGTTGGTGGCAGCGTCACTGGGGCCCACGTGGAGAGGCAGGAAGGGGGAGCGGCCCGAGGGCTCGACCAGCCTCGGCAGACGCCCTGTCACATCCTGAATTCGAGCTCCAGGCAAGCAGCCCACTTCTCGAGTTGCCTGGTCTGCTGGGGGACTGTCCCCGACCACCCCCCATCTCCTCCTCTTGGAGTGGAGGTGGTGGAACCCCCACCCTTAGGACAATGCATTCCAGGCTTCCATTCAATTGGGTCTCCTCCTGATCCCGTCGCTCAGATAACTCCTCCAAAGCCTTCTCTTCCGTTGTACCAGTGCAGAGACTGAAAACGGTTTCTTGCCTCGATCTGCACTGGGGGGACATGAGATCTCCTCTTTCTCCCCCCGCTCTGCACTGTCCTCGCTGATTCTTCAGCCTGCTGGGCCTGCAGCACCAAACATTGTCTTCTAGCTTCATTTTCTCTGATGCAATGTGGCGTAGATCCTTGGGCCTTTAGGTGCTCACTATCCATCGTGTCCTCTCGCAGAGGCTGTGTTTGAAATGATCACAACTGGAATGAAATGTTCTGATTTTATTGCAACAAAACATTTTGATCAATCTCCAAAGACAGTTTTGGGGGTTGGGGCTGACTTCTGCGCCGCTCCGCCGGGCCGCCATGTGGGAGCAAGCGGCGCAAGGGGCTATTTGGGGCCTGCGCTCTCCGTGCTGCATGGGGAGTGTGAGGCCCAAATGGCCGCTTGCTCCTGCATGGTGGCTCAGCTGAGCGGCACAGAAGTCAGCCAGGCACCATGGCACGAGGCAAAGGGGGGGCGGGGCGGTGATGTGCAGCGTGACAGCGACTTCAGGCCCCGCCTCCTGGCCATGAACGTCACCGCCTCGCCCCCCTTCACCTCCCGCCATGGTGCTTGGCTCACTTCTGCGCCACTTATCCGGGCCACCGTGGGAGAGCCCAAACGGCCACTTGCTCCGCTTGCTTCCCCATGACGGCCCGACTGAGCAGCGCAGAACTCAGCCGAGTACCACGGTGGGAGGCGAAGGGGGGCAGGGCAGTGACATGCGGTGTGGCAGCAGCTCCAGGCCCTGCCCCTGGCTGTGAACAGACCCTGGCCGGGGGGAAGGCAGGGGAACAGGAGGTGGAGGACAACTGGGAGGCTGCAGGATCAGTGCTGGGGTGAAGGGAAACGGTGCAGGGGGGTAGCTGGAGCTCATAGGCCACTGCTCAGCCGGGCTGCCACGTGGGAGAAAGTGGCGCAAACAGCCGTTTGGGCTCCGTGCTCCCCATGGAGGAGGAGAAGAGGAGAAACAGAGAGTGAGAGGCAGGAGGAGGAGGAGAAGAGAGAATGAGAGGCAAGAGGGGGAGAAGAGAAAGAGAGACAGAGAGAGAGGCAGAAGATGGAGGAGAGCTGGGCGGGGAGTCAGTAGGAAGGGGGGGGGGGAGAGAGAGAGAGATGGAGCGAGAGACCAGAGGCTCAGGAGAGAAGACCAAGATAGAAAGCGAATAGAACATGGAGGAGAGACCTGAAAATCCCGTTTTATGACGAGCTAATTGGCTAGTTTCAAATAGCCGTGAGCAAGGCGGGTCCTACCATGAGGCGACTGCCTCAGGTGCCAGACTGTGGGGTGGCGCCCCTAGAACCCAGAGTGTAGAAAATTGTGTCAGCGGCTGGTGCACAGGTAGGTAGCAGAGCAGCGCTATTAGAGGAGAACGGGAAGGAGGCAGAACTGAGACCTTTCAAAGTTTTGGCCCACGTGAGGGAACACGGGGGCATCATTTGAGCTCCCCGCCTCAGGTGCCAAAATGCTGTGGGCTGGGCCTGGCTGTGAGAAACAGCTAAGCTACTTCATGGAAGCAGATAGCTGAACGGGGAGTAGCCCCCCCTTCTCCCCAAGCACAGGTTCGTGTCACGACCCCTCCTCCCAAAAGCAAAAGCCAGACGCTTGTGAGCAGAGGGATTCCACTGGCTTTTGTTTTGTGAGGGGTTGTGAGAAAGACCCAGAAGAAAAGCTAGGGACAGAAAAAGTCAAGGACCGAGCCAGAGCAGTGTGAACCCAAGAGAAGCCAAGAGAGAGCTTCTGGGCAGAGGGAAGAGGGCCTAGGCCTATGAGCAAAGAAACTGCCTGTGGCTGTTTGAGTCAAGGTTCAAGGTGTGCAGAGCGGATGCCTCCTGCCAACCAAGCATGCCGTGCCAAGGGGGCCAGGCAGGGGAGACAACCATTTTCCACGTCAAGCGCTGGCACCATGAGAGATGGGTTTTGAATTACCCTGAGGCTGCCAGCACCAAGACTCGTCTTGCCTTCCTGGTGGTGAAGCTATTTCAAAACTGAGAGCCCTGTTAGGCTGGGGTAGGCTCATTTCAGGGAACCATAGAGCTGGAAGAGACCTCAAGAGTCATCGAGTCCAGCCCCCTGCCCAAGGCAGGACCAACCCCAACTCAATCAACCCAGCCAGGGCTTTGTCAAGCTGAGACTTAAACACCTCTAGGGATGGAGATTCCACCCCCTCCCTCGGGAACCCAGCCCAGCGCTCCCCCCTTGTGGTCTAGCCGTACCCTAACGCACCATCTCCACCGGTGCAAACCATGGGAACCCATTCCAGCGCTTCCCCACCCTCCTAGGGAAAGTTTTTCCTAATGTCCAATTTAGACCTCCCCCACTGTAGCTTGAGACCATTGCTCCTCGTTCTGCCATTTGCCACCACTGAGAACAGCCTCTCTCCAGCCTCTTTGGACCCTCCCTTCAGGGAGTTGAAGGCTGCTGTCAAATCCCCCCTCACTCTTCTGTTCTGCAGACTAAATAAGCCCAAATCCCTCAGCCTCTCCTCATAGGTCATGCGCTCCAGCCCCCTCATCATTTTGGTCACCCCCCTCTGGACCCTCTCCAATGCATCCACATCCTTTCTATAGTGGGGGCCCAGAACTGGACACAATACTCCAGATGTGGCCTCACTAGAGCCAAATAAGGGAATAATGACATCTCTGGATCTGCTGACAGCGCTCCTCCTAATGCACCCTAATATGCCATTAGCCTTCTTGGCTACAAAGTTGCACTGTTGACTCATATTCAGCTTCTCATCCACTGGAATCCCCAGGTCCTTTTCTGCAGAACTACTGCTTAGCCGGTCAGTCTCCAGCCTGTAACAATGCTTGGGATTCTTCCATCCCAAGGACTCTGCACTTGTCCTTGTTGAACCTCATCAGATTTCTTTTGGCCCAGTCCTCTAATCTGTGCAGGTCACTCTGGACCGTATCCCTGCCCTCCAGCGTATCTACCTCTCCCCCTGGCTTAGTGTCATCTGCAAACTAGCTGAGGGTGCAATCCATCCCCTCATCCAGGTCATTAATAAAGATGTTGAACAAAGCTGGATAAAGAATCGATCCTTGGGGCAGGCCACTAGAAACCGACCACCAACCTGACATCGAGCCGTTGATCATATTTCCTGGGGTTACTCCGCCAGGCCCCTCCCCATGGTGCTCTCCTGCAGGATTTAGGTTCCCCACGAATGGGTCCCTTCCCCTGGATCAGACAAACAGACACCCACACCCACTACCAGAGCATGTCTGAGAGGAGCAGCCAATCGGCCCCCACAAGTGACCCTGTGTGTGTCCCTGAACTCATCAGGCTGGTTGCATGTTAAGCTGCCACCCTCACACACCCCCACGTTCAGCACCCTCTAGCCTCCCTTTCATGCCACAACCGTACTGCTGGTAACCAACCCCCTGACGGGCAAACCCCACAGGGGTTTTGGGTGTTGCAGCTTAGGTGCCAGGAGACTGAATGGGGAAGCCAAAACAACACCCCTGAGGTTAACCAGTTAACTAATGAAACAGGATTTGACATCCCTACATTGGGCTGGTTGCCCGAGACCACCGAGGTGATAGGTAACACCCTGCAACATCGCAGGTCACTTTGGAAGGCAGGTGTTTTCCTTTCCTGGGGGCTTCTGCACCGACTGCACCCCCAGCTGGATCGGCGACTCAACAGCTAATCGTCTGTCTGGGGCACTGCCAGCTTTCCAAAGAGGGGACTGAGCGCAGGCAGGACGGCTCAGGGCGTTACCCCGGTGCATGAGCACACACAGGGCTGGGTTTCTCTGGCATGATTGAATTTGGGGTTCAGGCACCATTCGCTGTGTGAGCTCCCTGGGGAGCATCTGTAACTTCCAGCCAGAAATCCCCCACACAACCTGCTCCAGCGGCATGGCAGGAGCGCGAGGAGCTAGGGGACCAGTTCTGATGGGGATTGGCCCCCATTTTCCAACAGAAAACAGAAACGAGCCTGTTTGGTAGGGATCGTCATGGCGGGCTGGAAGCTGGGCCCCGGGTCGGGGGTGGGTGGAGTTGGGTTCTGGGCCAGGCCTCGCTGCAGTTGGGTACCAGGCCTCAGCTTGGGAACTATGAGGTAAGTCAAAAAGTATCCGCAATGTATTTATTAAAATTAACACAGCCGCAATGCAGAACTCAGAAGCGTATCGTTTTTCAACATAGTTCCCCTGCTTTTCAACACACTTGGTCCAGCCTCAAGCAAGCTTGCGTATGCCTTCAGAAAAACAAAGTTTTCAGCCGGGTGGCAAGCCATGTAAGCACGCCTCCTTCAAATCATCGTCACTGGCAAAACGACAGCCGCGTAAAGCATCTTTGAGGGGTCTCTCGGACGTTTGCGCTCCAGCTCATAGTGGTGGATCCACATTTCTTCACCAGTGACAATCCGATTCAAAAAAGCGTTTCCTTCCTCAGACACCGGTTCAAAAGGCAGTTACAGATGTCCAAACAGTTACTTCTGAGCTGTTCCGTGAGTTGTTTGGGAACCCACCTTGCACAAATTTTACCGAAGCGAAGTTTGTGCTGGACGATTTCCTAGGCAGCACCGAGACTCATCTGCAGTTGGTTTGCCGCTTCATCGACCGTCACCCTCCCGTTTTCGAGAATCAGCGCGTGGACGTGTTCAATGTTCCTTTCGATGTGGATGGGCCCCCTATCGTTCTTCATTAGGGACACTTGTTTGGCCATTTTGGAACATGTCCATCCATTCGTAGACGCGTCTCTGCGGCAATACGCTGTCCCCGTACTGTGCTGATAGTCTCCGATGAATTTCCGCACCTCTTACACCTTCAGCCCACAAAAATCGAACCACTGTACGCTGCTCATCTTTGGTGCACGTGGTAAGCGGAGTGGCCATGTTGACCCCACGAGTGGTGAAAGGCATCTGAACAGTCAAGGCCAAATAGGTCACTACAATATAGAGAGGTTCTTACGGTCGTGCAAGAATTCAGCAGTTGGGCCAATCACACACACAAAAAAAAAAGATATGAACACTTTGCGGATACTTTTTGACTTACCCTGGTATATTGGAATCGAGGGATTTGAAATCGGAGGTGCAGGGCCCCCGCCTGCTGCTGGGCAGCTAGCGAGGTGCACTAAGAAATTCAAAACGCAGCGCAAAGCCCTTTGGCTAACGAGCTCTCCACCTCCTCGTGGTCCATAGCGAGTCCTGGGTGGACGTAGAAGTGGAGAGACGCCTCCAGTGGCCAGAGAGATGCCTGTGCCCTGTGTGTGCTGAGCCTGTCCGTGCCTGGGCAGCGATCGCAGGCCTCCTGGCATCCGTCTGTTCCCAAGGAGCGGCACACGCCAGGCTCTCTCCTGCAGGTCGGGTGCTTCATTGTGTCGTGTGTAGTCCTGGATATGGAGACACCGCACATGCTTAGCACCAGGGCAGCTTGGGCATCCTGCATCTGACTGCTCCCCCCTCTCCCAGGTCCCTCATGAACACGAAGTGGAAGGTGTTGCTCTGTGTCTGTGTGACCCTGCTGGTTTACCAGTACGGTTTCGACGCCCTCAGGTAAGATCCGCAGTGAAGTCTGGGCTGCCAACACCCACAACCCGTCCTCAGCCCTTCTCTGCAGGCTCAGGTTTCTGCACACGGGGCCAGTTAGCGGCCGTTGGATAGGTCCTCTTCATCATCTGATCTAATCTAATCTCTCTCTCCTGACACACACACCCTCTGTCTGTCTGTCCATCCCCACCCCGCTCTATCTACCTAACCCCACACACCCCATCCATCTATATATCTATCTATCCCCACACACCTCCTCTGTCTGTCTGTCTCTGTCCCCATCCCCCTCTATCTACCTAACCCCACACACCCCATCCATCTATATATCTATCTATCCCCACACACCTCCTCTGTCTGTCTGTCTCTGTCCCCATCCCCCTCTATCTACCTAACCCCACACACCCCATCCATCTATATATCTATCTATCCCCACACACCTCCTCTGTCTGTCTGTCTCTGTCCCCATCCCCCTCTATCTACCTAACCCCACACACCCCATCCATCTATATATCTATCTATCCCCACACACCTCCTCTGTCTGTCTGTCTCTGTCCCCATCCCCCTCTATCTACCTAACCCCACACACCCCCTCTGTCTGTCTGTCTATCTATCTGTCCCCACCCCCCTCTACCTAACCCCACACACCCCATCCATCTATATATCTATCTATCTATCCCCACACACCCCCTCTGTCTATCTATCCATCCCCACCCCCCCCATCTATCTACCTAACTCCACACACCCCATCCATCTATTTAATCTGTCTATCCCCACACACCTCCTTAATCCAATGTATCTATCTATCATCTGAGGGTTTGCACATGTTCCTGTCTGTCTGTAAGTCCATCCATGAGTCCGTTTGTTCAAGACCCCCTCCTAACTGGTAAGAGCTAGGCCCCCCACATTTGATATGCAGCTTCCTCTTACCCTAACTGAAAGCAAGGGCAGGGTTTGGCTGTGCCTGGAAGGGGATTGTTTCCCATAACACTGACAGGGAGGGGGCTGGTAGGAGAGACAGGAATACTGCAGTGACCACACCAGGAAGACAGTGGCCAGCTGGGGCCAGGGTTTGCCATATTGCCGGCCATGGGCCCAGCTAAGTGGCCCCCCTCTCCCAAATCTGCTGGACCGGGAGAGGGGAAAGCCTTCCGGGCAGTGCAGCGCAGCCCCTCCCCCTCAGAGGAGCCACAGCCCCTCAGCACTGCCAGGGCTGCCCACTGTGGGTCCCCCACACACCATGGACCAGCCTGGGGATAAGTTGGTGGGCAGGGTGCCCATCACCCCGGGCTGGCCCTAGAGAGAAACGGCCCCTTCTACTCTCAACCTCCTGCCTGACTCCTGCGTCCCCATCTATCCCCACACCCCCCCCTCTGTCTGTCTGTCTGTCTGTCTATCCCCACCCCCTTCTATCTACCTAACCCCACACACCCCATCCATCTATATATCTATCTATCCCCACACCCCCCCCTCTGTCTGTCTGTCTGTCTGTCTATCCCCACCCCCTTCTATCTACCTAACCCCACACACCCCATCCATCTATATATCTATCTATCCCCACACCCCCCCCTCTGTCTGTCTGTCTGTCTGTCTATCCCCACCCCCTTCTATCTACCTAACCCCACACACCCCATCCATCTATATATCTATCTATCCCCACACCCCCCCCTCTGTCTGTCTGTCTGTCTGTCTATCCCCACCCCCTTCTATCTACCTAACCCCACACACCCCATCCATCTATATATCTATCTATCCCCACACCCCCCCCTCTGTCTGTCTGTCTGTCTGTCTATCCCCACCCCCTTCTATCTACCTAACCCCACACACCCCATCCATCTATATATCTATCTATCCCCACACCCCCCCCTCTGTCTGTCTGTCTGTCTGTCTATCCCCACCCCCTTCTATCTACCTAACCCCACACACCCCATCCATCTATATATCTATCTATCCCCACACCCCCCCCTCTGTCTGTCTGTCTGTCTGTCTATCCCCACCCCCTTCTATCTACCTAACCCCACACACCCCATCCATCTATATATCTATCTATCCCCACACCCCCCCCTCTGTCTGTCTGTCTGTCTGTCTATCCCCACCCCCTTCTATCTACCTAACCCCACACACCCCATCCATCTATATATCTATCTATCCCCACACCCCCCCCTCTGTCTGTCTGTCTGTCTGTCTATCCCCACCCCCTTCTATCTACCTAACCCCACACACCCCATCCATCTATATATCTATCTATCCCCACACCCCCCCCTCTGTCTGTCTGTCTGTCTGTCTATCCCCACCCCCTTCTATCTACCTAACCCCACACACCCCATCCATCTATATATCTATCTATCCCCACACCCCCCCCTCTGTCTGTCTGTCTGTCTGTCTATCCCCACCCCCTTCTATCTACCTAACCCCACACACCCCATCCATCTATATATCTATCTATCCCCACACCCCCCCCTCTGTCTGTCTGTCTGTCTGTCTATCCCCACCCCCTTCTATCTACCTAACCCCACACACCCCATCCATCTATATATCTATCTATCCCCACACCCCCCCCTCTGTCTGTCTGTCTGTCTGTCTATCCCCACCCCCTTCTATCTACCTAACCCCACACACCCCATCCATCTATATATCTATCTATCCCCACACCCCCCCCTCTGTCTGTCTGTCTGTCTGTCTATCCCCACCCCCTTCTATCTACCTAACCCCACACACCCCATCCATCTATATATCTATCTATCCCCACACCCCCCCCTCTGTCTGTCTGTCTGTCTGTCTATCCCCACCCCCTTCTATCTACCTAACCCCACACACCCCATCCATCTATATATCTATCTATCCCCACACCCCCCCCTCTGTCTGTCTGTCTGTCTGTCTATCCCCACCCCCTTCTATCTACCTAACCCCACACACCCCATCCATCTATATATCTATCTATCCCCACACCCCCCCCTCTGTCTGTCTGTCTGTCTGTCTATCCCCACCCCCTTCTATCTACCTAACCCCACACACCCCATCCATCTATATATCTATCTATCCCCACACCCCCCCCTCTGTCTGTCTGTCTGTCTGTCTATCCCCACCCCCTTCTATCTACCTAACCCCACACACCCCATCCATCTATATATCTATCTATCCCCACACCCCCCCCTCTGTCTGTCTGTCTGTCTGTCTATCCCCACCCCCTTCTATCTACCTAACCCCACACACCCCATCCATCTATATATCTATCTATCCCCACACCCCCCCCTCTGTCTGTCTGTCTGTCTGTCTATCCCCACCCCCTTCTATCTACCTAACCCCACACACCCCATCCATCTATATATCTATCTATCCCCACACCCCCCCCTCTGTCTGTCTGTCTGTCTGTCTATCCCCACCCCCTTCTATCTACCTAACCCCACACACCCCATCCATCTATATATCTATCTATCCCCACACCCCCCCCTCTGTCTGTCTGTCTGTCTGTCTATCCCCACCCCCTTCTATCTACCTAACCCCACACACCCCATCCATCTATATATCTATCTATCCCCACACCCCCCCCTCTGTCTGTCTGTCTGTCTGTCTATCCCCACCCCCTTCTATCTACCTAACCCCACACACCCCATCCATCTATATATCTATCTATCCCCACACCCCCCCCTCTGTCTGTCTGTCTGTCTGTCTATCCCCACCCCCTTCTATCTACCTAACCCCACACACCCCATCCATCTATATATCTATCTATCCCCACACCCCCCCCTCTGTCTGTCTGTCTGTCTGTCTATCCCCACCCCCTTCTATCTACCTAACCCCACACACCCCATCCATCTATATATCTATCTATCCCCACACCCCCCCCTCTGTCTGTCTGTCTGTCTGTCTATCCCCACCCCCTTCTATCTACCTAACCCCACACACCCCATCCATCTATATATCTATCTATCCCCACACCCCCCCCTCTGTCTGTCTGTCTGTCTGTCTATCCCCACCCCCTTCTATCTACCTAACCCCACACACCCCATCCATCTATATATCTATCTATCCCCACACCCCCCCCTCTGTCTGTCTGTCTGTCTGTCTATCCCCACCCCCTTCTATCTACCTAACCCCACACACCCCATCCATCTATATATCTATCTATCCCCACACCCCCCCCTCTGTCTGTCTGTCTGTCTGTCTATCCCCACCCCCTTCTATCTACCTAACCCCACACACCCCATCCATCTATATATCTATCTATCCCCACACCCCCCCCTCTGTCTGTCTGTCTGTCTGTCTATCCCCACCCCCTTCTATCTACCTAACCCCACACACCCCATCCATCTATATATCTATCTATCCCCACACCCCCCCCTCTGTCTGTCTGTCTGTCTGTCTATCCCCACCCCCTTCTATCTACCTAACCCCACACACCCCATCCATCTATATATCTATCTATCCCCACACCCCCCCCTCTGTCTGTCTGTCTGTCTGTCTATCCCCACCCCCTTCTATCTACCTAACCCCACACACCCCATCCATCTATATATCTATCTATCCCCACACCCCCCCCTCTGTCTGTCTGTCTGTCTGTCTATCCCCACCCCCTTCTATCTACCTAACCCCACACACCCCATCCATCTATATATCTATCTATCCCCACACCCCCCCCTCTGTCTGTCTGTCTGTCTGTCTATCCCCACCCCCTTCTATCTACCTAACCCCACACACCCCATCCATCTATATATCTATCTATCCCCACACCCCCCCCTCTGTCTGTCTGTCTGTCTGTCTATCCCCACCCCCTTCTATCTACCTAACCCCACACACCCCATCCATCTATATATCTATCTATCCCCACACCCCCCCCTCTGTCTGTCTGTCTGTCTGTCTATCCCCACCCCCTTCTATCTACCTAACCCCACACACCCCATCCATCTATATATCTATCTATCCCCACACCCCCCCCTCTGTCTGTCTGTCTGTCTGTCTATCCCCACCCCCTTCTATCTACCTAACCCCACACACCCCATCCATCTATATATCTATCTATCCCCACACCCCCCCCTCTGTCTGTCTGTCTGTCTGTCTATCCCCACCCCCTTCTATCTACCTAACCCCACACACCCCATCCATCTATATATCTATCTATCCCCACACCCCCCCCTCTGTCTGTCTGTCTGTCTGTCTATCCCCACCCCCTTCTATCTACCTAACCCCACACACCCCATCCATCTATATATCTATCTATCCCCACACCCCCCCCTCTGTCTGTCTGTCTGTCTGTCTATCCCCACCCCCTTCTATCTACCTAACCCCACACACCCCATCCATCTATATATCTATCTATCCCCACACCCCCCCCTCTGTCTGTCTGTCTGTCTGTCTATCCCCACCCCCTTCTATCTACCTAACCCCACACACCCCATCCATCTATATATCTATCTATCCCCACACCCCCCCCTCTGTCTGTCTGTCTGTCTGTCTATCCCCACCCCCTTCTATCTACCTAACCCCACACACCCCATCCATCTATATATCTATCTATCCCCACACCCCCCCCTCTGTCTGTCTGTCTGTCTGTCTATCCCCACCCCCTTCTATCTACCTAACCCCACACACCCCATCCATCTATATATCTATCTATCCCCACACCCCCCCCTCTGTCTGTCTGTCTGTCTGTCTATCCCCACCCCCTTCTATCTACCTAACCCCACACACCCCATCCATCTATATATCTATCTATCCCCACACCCCCCCCTCTGTCTGTCTGTCTGTCTGTCTATCCCCACCCCCTTCTATCTACCTAACCCCACACACCCCATCCATCTATATATCTATCTATCCCCACACCCCCCCCTCTGTCTGTCTGTCTGTCTGTCTATCCCCACCCCCTTCTATCTACCTAACCCCACACACCCCATCCATCTATATATCTATCTATCCCCACACCCCCCCCTCTGTCTGTCTGTCTGTCTGTCTATCCCCACCCCCTTCTATCTACCTAACCCCACACACCCCATCCATCTATATATCTATCTATCCCCACACACCTCCTCTGTCTGTCTGTCTCTGTCCCCACCCCCCTCTACCTAACCCCACACACCCCATCCATCTATATATCTATCTATCCCCACACACCTCCTCTGTCTGTCTGTCTCTGTCCCCACCCCCCTCTACCTAACCCCACACACCCCATCCATCTATATATCTATCTATCCCCACACACCTCCTCTGTCTGTCTGTCTCTGTCCCCATCCCCCTCTATCTACCTAACCCCACACACCCCCTCTGTCTGTCTGTCTATCTATCTGTCCCCACCCCCCTCTACCTAACCCCACACACCCCATCCATCTATATATCTATCTATCTATCCCCACACACCCCCTCTGTCTATCTATCCATCCCCACCCCCCCCATCTATCTACCTAACTCCACACACCCCATCCATCTATTTAATCTGTCTATCCCCACACACCTCCTTAATCCAATGTATCTATCTATCATCTGAGGGTTTGCACATGTTCCTGTCTGTCTGTAAGTCCATCCATGAGTCCGTTTGTTCAAGACCCCCTCCTAACTGGTAAGAGCTAGGCCCCCCACATTTGATATGCAGCTTCCTCTTACCCTAACTGAAAGCAAGGGCAGGGTTTGGCTGTGCCTGGAAGGGGATTGTTTCCCATAACACTGACAGGGAGGGGGCTGGTAGGAGAGACAGGAATACTGCAGTGACCACACCAGGAAGACAGTGGCCAGCTGGGGCCAGGGTTTGCCATATTGCCGGCCATGGGCCCAGCTAAGTGGCCCCCCTCTCCCAAATCTGCTGGACCGGGAGAGGGGAAAGCCTTCCGGGCAGTGCAGCGCAGCCCCTCCCCCTCAGAGGAGCCACAGCCCCTCAGCACTGCCAGGGCTGCCCACTGTGGGTCCCCCACACACCATGGACCAGCCTGGGGATAAGTTGGTGGGCAGGGTGCCCATCACCCCGGGCTGGCCCTAGAGAGAAACGGCCCCTTCTACTCTCAACCTCCTGCCTGACTCCTGCGTCCCCATCCTTGCCCTGAACTCCTCCTCCATCCAGGAACAAGGAATTTAGGCCATACCTTCAGAACGGAGGAGAGGGGGTCTGTAGCCTGGAAACCAGTGACTCTGCAAAGGATGTAGAGGGACTCAAAATGCATTCCTGGTGGAATGAGGTGGCAAAATGTGTTGATGGGATCCTAGAATGTGTAAGCGGGGGAGGGGGATGGGAATAATGCCAGAGGACTGTAAAGTGACTGGCCCCTCTGTTCTGTAAATTCCCTCTGCTAGCGGCGCCCTGGGAGCAGAGGACGCTCTCTGGATACACCTCAGCGGCACGTCCCGTGTCTTTGCAGGTTCGTGGAAGGTTTCATCCCCATGGGAGTCTGTCCGTGGCCGCGGGATGCTCGCTTCCGTCACCCTGGCATGGACTCTCACAGCCCCCTCAACGTCTGGTAGGGAGCTTCCCCTCTGCCCCCCCATCTACACCGGAACACGGGCTCCCCAGCCCGGGTCAGGCCACTGGACCGTCTCAGCTACCTCCACCTTCTGCCCTCCCAGCTCAAACCCGTGTCCTCCGAGCCTGGCTCTCCCAGGGCCACTCGCCGGAGGAGTCAGGCCAAATCATTGGGCCCAGGGACTCGAGGTTCTTTTGGCTCCTGTTTTCCACTGGAATCCCTCCGAGGCTCTGGGCTTGGTGCAGAAAAGAGCGTCTAGATTGGCACGGACGCTTTTCCGCAAAAGCCCTTTTTCCCTCCCAGCTCAAACCCGTGTCCTCCGAGCCTGGCTCTCCCAGGGCCACTCGCCGGAGGAGTCAGGCCAAATCATTGGGCCCAGGGACTCGAGGTTCTTTTGGCTCCTGTTTTCCACTGGAATCCCTCCGAGGCTCTGGGCTTGGTGCAGAAAAGAGCGTCTAGATTGGCACGGACGCTTTTCCGCAAAAGCCCTTTTTGCAGAAAAGCGTCCGTGCCAATCT